TTAAATATTAGACGGATGGCTCTTTTCTGAGAAACATGCAGACAGTTAAGATGACTTTTAGGACTGTGACCCCAAAGAAGTATACAGTAAGTTAGATAGGGGTAGATGAAGGCATTGTAAAGAGTTTTTAGAGAAGAACGAGATAGCTTGTTTTTTATGTTGTAGAAAATTCCTATGAGTTTGTTAATCTTTAAAGATATAGATTGGAGATGAAGATCCCAAGAAAGATTATCAGAAATAGTCACACCCAAGAACTTGGTTGAGAGAACACGATTTATTTTAATATTATTCAGCATTAGGTTTAAGTTATTGGATTGGTTTGTTAAGATTTTGGGTCCAAAGATTATGTAAGAACATTTAGAATGATTGACAGTGAGTTTGTTAGAAGAAAACCAGTTTGAAAGTTCTGAAAGGACCGAATTTATATGATCTGAACATGAAATGTCGTCGGGAGTAAATAGGAGATTCGTGTCGTCGGCAAATAGTATACATTTAGTTCCAATAGATATATTATGAATGTCGTTTATGTAGATTAGGAATAGAAGTGGGCCGAGGATTGATCCCTGAGGTACACCAATGGAAGTTAAGGCCTTTGAAGATTGGTAATTGTCAATAGTGACATATTGATTCCGATGTGAGAGATAACTTTGAATCCACCCGAGAGCTTCTCCTCGAATACCATAACAACTTAATTTATCAAGTAAGATGCTGTGATTAATAACGTCAAATGCTTTCGAAAGGTCTAAAAACAAACCAACTGAGAGTTTTTTGTCATTGAGTTTGGAGAGGATGTGATGGACATAATCGAGTAGAGCAAGTTCCGTTGAGTGGCTAGGGCGAAAACCATATTGGTTGTTGCAAATAATTTTATGTACTTCAAAGAAAGAAAATAGTCTGACATAAACTGCTTTTTCTAGTAATTTTGACAACGGAGACAGTAGAGAAATCGGCCTGTAGTTATTAATGTCGGCATTATCTCCTTTTTTAAATATGGGAATAACTTTCGAGGTTTTAAAGCAGTCCGGAAAAATTCCTGAGCTAAGAGATAAGTTGAAAATATGTAGAAGGGGTACTGTTATATTGGATATTATGTTTTTTACAAGAAACATATTTAATCCATCATCTGAATAAGATTTCTTGTTTTTCAACTTGCCAGCTAATGTTAGCAGCTCGGAGCGAGTAATCGGATGGAAGCAAATAGAGTGAGAATTAGGCGGTGACATGTGGGACAAAGGATCTGTATCAACTGAAGGTAGGTTAGAGAGAAGTTCGTTGCTGATGTTTATGAAGTGTTCGTTAAAGTGTTTACATATTTCAAGTTTGTTTTGTACCTTATTATTGTTGATGATGAGTTTTGATATTTGTGGAGAAAAATATCTAGTATTTAAAGCTTCTTTGATCAAGTTCCACTGTGATTTAGAATCATGAATTTTATCGAAGCGGTGAATGTAGAATTCACGCTCAGTCTTTCTTTTAATCCGGGTGAAGAAATTACGATACCTTTTATAAGCAGAAATGTTGCACTGCGACGGAATTTTAAGGCTTTTGATGTAGAGTTTATGTTTAATTTTGGATAAATGGATGATGTGTTTGTTGACCCACGTTTTTTTATAAATATAATTGACTGGAAGCAGAGGGGAAACGGAGTCCAGAATATAGAAAAGAATGGCATAAAACGTAGAGCAGCATGTATTAATATTATCTTGAGTAGTGACAGATGACCAGTCTTGGACAGAAAGTTGGAGGTTGATTTTCCTAAGAGAATCAGGACAGAGATTTCTACGAAGTTTAATTGGAGCTGTTGGAATGGGGAAACAATGATTTGGACATAAAGCGAAAATAGGAAAATGGTCGGAAAAGTCATGTAAAAGAATACCAGAAATGTGATGAGATAGATTGCTTGTGAAGATATTGTCTATTATAGAAGAGGAAGAATGAGTCACTCTGGTAGGCTGAGATATAAGAGGAACAAAGTTGAAGGAAGCCAGTAAATCGGAAAAGGAAGCAACGAGTTTATCAGAGCAGGCCTTTGAGAGATCTAAGTTGAAATCGCCGACAAGGTAAACTTTAGAATTGGTTTTAAGACTAGATAAAGCGAGGTCAAGTTTTTGAATTAAATTGGAGGGGTCAGAGTTTGGTGGTCTATAGATAGCAAATACGATGACGTTGGATTTGTGAAATTTAATTTCAATACATAGACAATCGGCGACGTCGTCCGTTGATAGGGCATTGTCGAAAAGTGTATAATCTAGTCCCAATATATATATATATATATATATATATATATATATATATATATGATTTAAACGATATCCTAAGGGCAAAGATTTAACATTTCTGGAACTTTTCATCTTGAAAGCTTTTGCGGTTTATAAAGCAAAAAATGAATTATCATGTCAGTTTTGTAAAATTAATTTCTACTCAAAATCAGGTGCGATTTTTATGAAATGGTTAATTTTGTCACAGAGAGTTTTACCAATTACCGAAAAATGAAGAAACAAAACAATATTTATATTCTACAACTTCAACCAAAACTGATATATGACACTGCTGTGTATACTGGCATGAGTATTTTGGAACTTTCAGTAATCTGGGCGGCACGATGATGTAATGAGTAAAATTGAGTGACGCATTGATTCACATGTATTTATACACGTGTTTGTTATAATAACCTCTGAAAAATATCTAAGAGAGAATAATTTTTTTTGCCAACAAAGTTCATTTCATGGCATTATAAAATTTAATTCAGGTACAGTTGATAACTCCCCATTTGTCAATATTATTGGTTGTTCAATGGAGAAACGAATAGAGAGGCAAAAAAATGGGGGGATGTCATAAAAATTCATAAAAAATAATGAATCATAAAAACGTGAATTTAGAACTCGTTAGGAATATAATCTCACAGATACATAATGCAATAGAACCATCATAGATACGTAGCGTAATAAAATAATATACAGAGCTGATGATTAAATTCATAATTAGTTCATTCACAAGTTAAAAATAAAATTATTAAATAAACTTAATTATTAAACGATAGATTGTTAAAGAGCAAAACTCTGGAAAGATTATAAAGAAAATGTACCAAACAAATTTAAAATATCATACGATATGTTAACACTGAAAAAATAACTAAATAAAATTATCAATAATTGTAGACTATGATTTAAACTACTTTACAACTTTACATTCATTAAATTAAAAAAATAACAAGTAGCCTTAGAAATCAGTTTAAATCTTTACAATAAATACAAACATGCCACATTGAGAATATAACATACGTAACAAACAATAACAAACAAAAAATAAGTATGACATCACATTAAAATTTAGACCAAAGATGATGTAAAGTTTTATAAAAGCAAATACTAAAAAATAGGAATAATTATCAAAGTTCATTATTTATTACATCAGAGGAAGTTCTTAATTTTTTAGATGACCTTATTTTTTCATATTCCATGAAATGAGATTCAACTTGTGTCCAATCCTGTTCAATGTAGACAGAAAATTTTTTATAAAAAGTGCACGACATGAATGAAATCTTCACAAAAAATGGCTAAAATACTACTTTTTTTTATATCGATCAGTGAGTTAGCTTAGTCGGTAGAAGTGCCATGTCTCGAGCAGCTACGCGATGACCTGGTGCGAATGCTGTTCTATCAGAAACTCAAAGACTATTATATGACATGCGTATAGGATGCGGTGTTTGCGCGTGAATGCACAATGTAAAATTACGTCCTGTGGTGTGGATGGATAGTACAACCTATGTGGTACGACAGTTTAAATATAAAAATATGTAAGCGGTTCGGTGTATGTCAGAGCTGCATTTGCATAAATAAAGAAAAAAAAACTATTTACAATCACACTAACAAATCAACCTGATACAAAATGCAAAACATCATAATATAAAAATAGAAATAAAAAAATTTTATTATTATTTTTTTTAAAACCATGCAAACCTTCACAAACACATTACGCACGATTTTGCGCGTAATGTTTGTGTGTGTGAAGGTTTGCATGGTTAGTGAAGATGTTCTGGCTGGTATGTATTAATTTATTTAGTTGAACACGCTTGTACACGGCAGGTATTAATATTTATAAAAGCTTGTATTAATGTATTTTTTATGTTTCTATGTCATGTTAGTATATTGGTCCTGGGCATGACATAAAACTGCATCCAAGCTGCCTTGCGTGCTTTGAGCAAAAGGCTAGACCCACCGCTTATAACTGGTGGTTGTCGTCAGGATGGGTGTCCGGATGTAAAAACTTTTCCCCAAATTAATCCTATGCCATCACAAAGAAAAACAACGGCCCCTAGTCTCCAGCAGGCCATAAGTGGTCAAGGGGTGCCAAGAATCCCTGAGAAGTATGGAACGATCAATGCTGGATCACTGACTGGCCGCAGCATGGAAATCGCAAAAATGCTTGAGCGTAGAAGGATTGACATCTGCTGCCTTCAGGAGACCCGATGGAAATCGAATGGTGTTTGTCATGTCAACTCAGACAAAGAAAAAAGTATAAACTATTTTGGAATGGTCAAAAGACGGCCAAAAATGATGTTGGAATTTTTGTCAGAGAATCGCTAGCCCAAAAAGTACTGGGCTGCGTTCTCTGACACCATCTCAACAACACCAAAATTTGAAACAATCCTGATCGGAGGCGATCTCAATGGCCACGTTAGAGAGAAAACAGATGGTTTTTACAACGTACATGGCGGTTTTGGCTATAGAGAACGGAATGAAGATTGCAACCGCATCCTTGAGTTTGCTGAAAGTCACGGGTTTTTTAGAAAGAGGTTGGAACATCTCATAACATACAAAAGTGGACCATCAGCCATGCCAATTGATTTTTTCGCTGTTAAGCAACAACACATAGGCTATTCAAAAATGTCAAAGTTATACCTGGCGAATCATGTGTCGCCCAACATAGACTTCTTGTGGCAGACCTGGTTGTCGAACTGTCAAAACATAAGTCTAAACAAATGCCTCGGAGAATCAAAACGTGGAAACTGAAAAGCAATATTCATCTAGAAAAATTTCAACAGATTGTCGCTACACAGTTATACCACCAATCGCAAGCCAGTACAGATTGGAGTACATACAAAACCGTTTTGATAAACGCTGCAACCATGGTTTGTGGGAAAACTGGTACAAAACGTCAGCATGAACGGGACACTTGGTGGTGGGATGACAGTGCACAAGATGCAATAGCTGAAAAGAAAGCTGCATACAAGCAATGGCAAAAATCAAAGTCTTTTGATGACCATAAAATTTTCCGTGAGAAGAACAACTATGCAAGAAATGAAATCTCTGTATCGTATAGCAAAACAAGCAAAGCGTCCGAAAAAAGACATAGTTGGTGCCTCAATTATCAAAAACGACAAAAATGAGATGGTTCTTGAACAAGATGAGATCAGTGGAGAGAATATTTCAACGATCTGTTAAATGAAACAAATCCAATCATGTCAACTTTGACGCTCCACCCATCGAAGGTCCGATTCCAGACATCACTGTAGAGGAGCTTACAGAAACTCTGAAAGCTATGAAAGATGGAAAGGCAGCAGGACCCTCTAGACTTAAAAATGACATTATCAAAGCATCTGGTACTGCATGTATCCAAACGTTACTACAACTTTGCCGTGAATTGCTCAATGCCGACTGAATGGAACTATAGCATGACAGTTCCGCTACACAAAGGCAAAGGTGATCCAATGAACTGCTCATCATATCGGGGTATACGTCTGTTAAAACACTCCCTGAAAATTGTTCAGAAGTCACTAAGCCGATACGCACTGGTGACATTTGGAATCTAATATATGCTTATAATATCGTTTTAACAGCCACGTCTGAGCAGAATGCAGCATAAATGTTTGAAGATTGGAACACCAGACTCGCCGATCATGGATTCAAAGTATGAAAAAGTTCGTTCATTCAGTAATGCCAGAGATGTTTGGTTAGAACTTCACAGATTATATGATGAAGTTAATGAAGATAAAGCATACAACTTATGCATGAAGTTCTTTAGTTATAAAATGGATGAAAGCGATGATGTTGTCACTCATGTTACAAAACTCAAGAATCTTTGGAAAGATTTAAAGGTTGAGTTAAGAAAAGATGAAAACAGTGACTTGTTGCTGATGTGTCAGATAATTGAAACTCTGCCAGAAAAATATTTTTCATTTGCTGCAAGTTGGAGATTGTTGAACAAGACTGAAAGAACAGTCAAAACACTCACAGATCAACTGTGTAGCTATGAGAGATCTTTGGAAGGCAAAACAGAATGTAATAAAGTATTAGTTGTCAAAGCAACAACTAAAAGGTCATCATCACTAAACATGAATGGTCAAAAACAAGATAAATTTGTCAGCAAACCAAAGCGACTGATATGTCATTATTGCAAATTGCCAGGTCACATTGTAAGAAATTGTGAAAAATGGCATTCTGATGGTAGACCAGCAAAACCAAGAAATAACAATCTACGCGATGACAATAAGTCACTAGTTGTTATGGAATCAAGTGTTTTTGCAATTGATGAGTCAGCGTACACTGATGAATGTTTTTTTGACAATGGTGCAACGTGTCATCTAACTTTCCGAAGAGACATATTTCAAAGTTTTGAAAAATTTTCTCAACCGAGTAAATTATATGTTGCAAATAGTGATACTGAAGAAGCTTTTGGGAAAGGAATTATTCATCTTTAAGTGAAAGTGAATAATAAATGGCAAACTGTTAAACTTACAGATGTCTTATATGTGCCAAAAGTAAAAAGAAATTTGTTCTCAGTATACTCAAGATAAGAACAGAAATGGCTCTTTTGTTTCAACCTCAAAAAGTTGTCATCTACTTATTGACAATGTGATAAATGTTGTTGGAATAAGAAACAACAATGGAGGTTTGTTCAAACTTGTTGCAAAAACTGTTAGACCGTTGAATTCTGAAGTCGAAGTTAACTTTGTCAATGATCAAGATGCATTACAGTTATACCATGAACGAATGGGACATCAGAATAAGAAACATGTTAAAATGGTCATGAAATGTGAACTAAACATCGATATACCTGTAGACAGTGAATTATGTGAACGATGTGTCTATGGAAAGTTACATCGATTGAAATTTGGAACTCGAGTAAGAGCATCAAGACCAGGAGAATTAATTCACACAGATGTATGTGGTCCTTTCTGCTTCTCATTTCAAAATTACAGATACTTTGTTTAGTTCAAAGATGATTTCACAGGCTACAGATTTGTTTACTTTGTTAAACAAAAATCAGATGTACCAGAAAAACTCAGACAAATGCTTGCAGAGTCAAGATCAGCTGGTCATAAAGTCTCAGAAGTATTAAGTGACAATGGAGGTGAGTTTGACAACAAAGAAGTCAGATCAATTTTGCAAAAAGAAGGAGTTAGACAACGCCTAACTATGCCTTATACACCTCAGCAGAATGGATGCAGTGAGCGTGATAATCGAACGCTAGTTGAAGCAGCAAGAGCCATGAGACTGGCTCACGAAGAACTGCCTCAGGCCTTTTAGGCTGAATTAATTAATACTGCTGCTTACATACTCAACCGAACTGGACCATCTTCTGTAGAAGGAAAATCACCGTATGAAGTGTGGTTTAACAAGAAACCTAAGATAACACATCTACGAATCATTGGTAGCAAAGCCTATGTTCATATTCCTATGCAGAAACGACGTAAAATGGATACTAAAGCTGTAAAGGGTACCCTCGTTGGATATGAAGGTGACGATGGCTACAGAATTTTTGTTCAACCAGGAAATAAAATGCTTCGATCAAGAGATATTATTTTTGATGAGAAGGTTGTCAAACCAAATTCAGTGATTTTGCAAGAAGAAAGTTGTTCAGATGATACAGTTTCGATTGACGTTAAAATCAAAGATGAAAATAAAGAAACTTTGATTAAAGAAAATATTTCAACTGATGAAGATGTTCACAACCGTAGTTCAGTTTCATCTGATGAAGAAGATCAATCTGACTGTTGTAATCAAAAGACCAAAGGTATGGTTTTACGCGACAGGAATAATATCAAAAAGCCATCTCGTTATGATCCTTTCGTCATGTCTGCATTATGTGAAGTAATTGAACCAGTAAGCTACAAAGATGCCATTCAAAGTGATGAAAAAGATGAATGGTTTAAAGCCATGAACAGTGAAATGCATTCATTAAAGGAAAATCAAACGTGGGATTTGGTACGTCTTCTAAAAGGTCATAAGGCAATACCATGCAAATGGGTCTACAAGGTAAAACACAATCCAGATTGTTCTGTTGAACGTTTTAAAGCCAGGCTAGTGGTAAAAGGTTTTTCTCAGAAAAAGGGAATTGACTATGAAGAAACCTATAGTCCTGTGGTCAGAAGTTCAAATATAAGAACACTATTAAGTGTTGCTGCAAATGAAAAGATGTCACTCATGCAGTTTGATATGTCAACAGCATTTCTATACAGCAAACTAGATAAAGACACTTACATGGAGCAACCTGAAGGTTTTAAAGATAATTCAAGAAGAGTCTGTAAACTCAAGCAAAGTCTCTATGGACTTAAACAAGCTCCAAAATGTTGGAACAAACGCTTTGCTGAATTCTTGAAAAAGAGACATTTCAAACAAAGCGATGCAGATACTTGATGGACTAGTTGCAGGAACCGATAAAGAAGAACTAAAAATATTTGAAAAAGAATTAAAGTCAGAGTTCAAGATAACATCTAAACCTGCAACATATTTCCTTGGATTAGAGATTAATCAAGATGAGAAGGGAAATATTAATGTCAGTCAGTCATCGTATACAAGAATGATTCTTGAAAAGTTTGGGATGAGTCAGTGTTAATCCTGTACAACTCCGATTACAAAATCTGAGGAGTTCAATGAAAACAAAAATGAGGAAGTGAAATTTCCTTACAGATCAGCAGTTGGTGCATTGATGTACTTGATAACGGGAACAAGACCAGATATTGCATATGCAGTTGGAGTAGCATCCAGAAGTTTGGAGAAACCCAGCAAGTCCAATGTAGCACAAGTAAAGCAAATTTTCAGATATTTGCAAGGCACGGCTGATGTCGGTATTGTTTACAAGTCTGGTCAAAACTATACACTTATAGCCTACAGTGATGCAGATCATGGAGGAGATAAATCTAGTGGAAGATCGACATCAGGTGTAATCTGTATGTTTGGAGGAAGCAGTTGGTTTAGCCAACGTCAACCCTCAGTTGCGATTTCAACTACTGAAGCAGAAATCGTTGCCGCAAGTGAAGCAGCTCATGAAGTGATATGGCTCAAACAATTGTTGAACGACATTGTAGATCTAATGAAAAAGCCAGAAATTTTTGTCGACAATGAAGCAGCAATTCGTTTAGCACACAATCCAGAACTTCAAAGAAGAACAAAGCACATCCACATTAGACATTTCTTTGTCACAGAAAAAGTTGCAGAAGAAGAAGTTTCAGTTGAACGAGTTGCGACAGAACTTCAAGTTGCTGATGCCCTAACAAAACCAATGGTAGGACCAAGACTAAAGAATCTGATGTGTGCGATGGGTCTTCAAGAACATTTAGGTTAAGGTCATCTAATGTTTTAAATAAAATGAGAAGGTGTTAATTTTATGTTTTATATTAAAACATTATAATTTATAATATATATTTATTTTCTTTGGACCAAATGTTCTTTGCTTTGTATGTAACTTCACTTTTTCCTTTTCTGTTGATCCGGTGGATAATAAACAAGTCGAGAACGTTGCTTAGTTTATTTCTCTTCTTTTAATGTCTTTCAATATTATATCAATTAATTAAACGATCTACGTGACAAGAAATTTAACATACTCAACAACAGAGACATCCAACATAACACTTGATAACAAAAATGTTCTTAAGTTTCGACCGGTGAACTCGTGCTGATTGCTTGAATCCAATGGCATTATATGAAATATAAAATGTAATTCACTTATAAAATTTCATAACCAACTTTAAAAAAATCGTTAGAAAAACAACGAGATGTGACCAAACAAATTAAAACTAACATTGGCTCGACAAACTAGTTTGCGTTTAGAGCTTACCTGAACCAGGTAAATTTATGAGAGATCACCTCAGGCACCTTTGTCAAAATTCCATCAGTTTTATAAGATAAGGGTAATCAGACGTTATCTTATAGTCGACAAATTCTGGTAAATTGCTTTGTTTGTACAAGAAGTTATTCTTGCAACTCGGTTCTGGACCTCACAGCTATACTAATTGTTCAAGTTTCAAAACTTGACACTATCTCACACTACTAGAAAGATGGACTTTATTGGTTGCCGACAAAGGATAGAATTAGATTTAAAAATGATGCTCAAGGTGGGAAACTCAATGACAAGAAACGCAAAAGTTTATCAATTCAATTGTAATAATTACTTCGACGCATCTTTTCTCGGCGAATACCTTATTGGTTGCTTCCGTTTGAACTTGACTAAAAAGTTGAACTAGTCATAAAGTTTTCAAAAGACATTTGAAGCATCACTTGTTTAGCAGGACAAAGTACAATTAACGTGTCTGAATTTGATTCAACAGCATGTTTGATATTAATGTGATAAGTATAGTCGTCCGTCAGCTTCGTGTGACTAGTAAAATATCGCTCAACGTAATCCTACAATAGTAAGATTAGAATTATATTCAAATAAAAACAAAAACATTAATTTTTGACGAATTCAAGATGTTACCATCTGGTTTTGGCTATGTTTTAACATAAAATTGCAATATTACGAAATAACAACTTTTGTTAAATCTGCTAACAATCAGTCTAATTTATTATACTTGATCATAAAAATACAAATTGAATTAAAATATTAGCAAAAATAATGCAGACGTAATAAACCTTTATGGATGTATTGTCAATCTCTTCCAACGAAATAACACCATCTCCATTAGCATCGATCAGCAAAAACATCTGTTTATGTTTTAACAAAATATATCAATTACATTAGAAGGTCCACAAATTCGACAAATTCAAAACAGCAATGTTTTTGAAGCCATTAAGGTAGAGAAAGTCACATCGTTTCAATATCTAGGTGATGTTCTGGATTGTACTGGAACAGCTGAAGCTGCCGTTCGAGCACGTATACGTGCAGCCTGAAATAAATGGCATCTCCTTGCCTCTAAATTGATGCGGCGTGACATTCCACTACCACTACGATCAACACTTTATAAATCTGTGATACGTCCGGTGTTGTCATATGGTGCAGAAACATGGCCAATGACAAACAAACTGGAACAACAACTTCACCGAACCTATATGAAAATGCTCCGATGGATGCAACGAATTAGTCTGAATGACAACATCAAATCTACCGAATGACAACCAAACTGGAACAACAACTTCACCAAATCGATATTTCGATATAAAAATGCTTCGATGGAAGCAACGAATTAGTCTAAAGGACAACATCAAATCTACCGAAATCCTGTGTCGTTCTGTTTTAGATGATATAATGGACGAATGCCGGCAACACCGTCTGCGGTGGTTTGGTCATGCCAAACGAAGTGGAAACAGTGCCATAACTTCTCTTGCACATGTTGAAATACCTGGTACACGTTCCAAAGGCCGTCCAAAGAAGTCCTGGTCGCAAACAAACGCAGACATAAAAGCTCTAAATTTAAATGAAATGGATACAACTGATCGCCTAATTTGGCGCAGACAATTTATGGCAAAGAAAACAACGTCCTACCTCGGGGGAACTGGGTCTCTGGACGCTAAACGAAGATTGATTGATAGGTCCACGGTAAATTTTCTATATATTAATTACATTAAAAAACTGACAAGCTATCAAATTAAGCATTTGTCGTACAAACATTAGAGTAAAGTATTAAATTATTCATACTCAACAATATTGAAATAGATCAAGAATATTAATGTCGTTTATATATTTTATTTATTGATAACTTTTTTGGAAACATCTTTGTTAACCGTAAAAATAAATTGAACTTTAATTTTTACGCCAATGCCATATTTTTTAAATAAGAAAAATCTAACTTGTTTTAATTGGTGAAAATCATTTGGAAGTATTCCATCAAGCGTTTCTTCTTTCTTTCGAAGCAAAAGAAAAGTTATAAAAAATTAAACAATATTATAACGAAAATAGTTCTTACCGAAAGGAAAACCGCCATAAAATTGTCTAAATCTACATTTCTTTTAAGATACCTCCTCAATTCAGTCCTTCATGAAAGAATTATTAGAATATGTAAATTATAAACAAAAATTTACTTCGAGTTCTCAATTTTAAAATAAATCAAACAAATTTAAAAATTAATTAAATAAAATACGATTTTAAACGATATTATTAAAATAGCTTATTTAAAAAGCTGAAGTTGCATGTTTATTTGTCTGATTTGTAACATTAGGGTGGTTACAACGCTATATGTAAAAAAAAATTTCGAAATCTTATCGGGGGAACCCATAAATTGTGCCACTTGACTAAAAAATGACATTTGTAAAGTTTTAGCTCAATTGGATAATGCTAACCCGTGCCTCATCGAGGTTGAAATTTCGAAAAATTGGAAAATTTTGAAAAAAACGCAGTTTTTGGTTTGTAAAATAAAAACGGTTCATTCTAGAAACATGATTTAGATTTTATTTTGTTCATTGATTAGTTTCCTTCAAATGTTACTATGATCACCATTTAGCTACAAGTTATAGTTTCTGACATATTTGCATTGTTACAGATACACATTGAAAAAACGTTGTATTTCTCCATAACACAAAAACACACAATAACTTAATTTGTTTATAAAGAAATGTTTTTAAAATAACACCGTTCTATCTAAATCACTATTATTAACAAATAAACACATTTTTTATTCATATTATATTGTTTATAGTTGTTATACATCAAATAAATTTCTACTTTAACTCATTGTTCAAAAGGTAGAGGCTCGGATAAGGAGGCTTTTTGTGCAACCAGGAAATTTTGTCCGACATTCAGCAATTACTTGCAAAAGATATTTTTTTTGATCTTCCTCTTTTGTAATACATGAGTTGTAATCTGTTATTAATTTAACACCCCTTTCTGCTGTATCATTTGTAACTTTTAATCCGTCCACAATCTTTTTACTCTTTAAATATTCTTTGTTATTACTCCATTATTCTGGATTGGTATGCAAAAATTGATCATTAATATTAAATCTTTTTAAAAAATTTCTTGAATGTGATGAAATAAAATGGTCCGCATTTTTGTCCAATATTTCTGATACTTCATTTATTTTTATTAGTGGTTTCATATCACAGTAGTCATCAAGTTCTTCATCCTCATTTGCTTGAGATATTAATTTTGTTGCCATTCTCTTTTTTACACAATTACTTAATGAATCATCGAATAATAAAAAAAACAGCCTGCTCTGGATTGAGGTACTATATGTGGTTGATAAATTTTGAAACTGATATATCTGAGGTAAATTTATTGACTTTATTGTAATTTACCAAAGATTTTAACAATTGTAAATCTTGGTTTGGAGCAAGTGCAGGTTTCGGGGCATCCAACCACACTTTCACATAAATATTTATAATAAATAGGCAAATATCATGGAATACTTGCTTTTCAAAAATTGTCAGTTGAAACTGTTCTCTGAAAAGGTATATTTTCAACGAATATATCGCTTTTGCCATCCACCTTGCGTGATGAAAAGCACCATGAGCCGCAAACACGATGTTTTCTGACGGAAAGCGTTCAAAAATATAAGACAAAGATTAATCAATTCTTTGTAATCGCTCCTTGGATGATGAACTGTTAATTGTTCTAGAAGATAACTTGATATTTGACCCGGATTAATCAATTTGCTGGCTACACTTTTATCTTTAACTCCTGATTTAAATTTGTTTATCAATGTTGTTCCATTCAGTTTTAAATTTTTTGAAAGTATCCGATTGAGGGCCTGTAGTCTTTCCCATCACAGCATCAAAAACGGATCTCAAAACTACCTCCAAAATGTGGTGGCGACATGGAAGATACAATAATTTTTTCTCCATCAATTGCTCTAATAAAACGCAAGCACCTTTAATGCGGCCAGAATTCACGGCAGTTGTGTCAAAGGACATTGCTTGAATCTTGTATAGTGCACCCCACTTTCCAAGTTCTGAATAAACAGATTTTGCAATTGTACTGCCAGCACCATTTTCTAATTGGGGAACTCCAATTAACTGTTCTTTTTCTCCACAGCTAATTAAGACTGCAACTCTTTCAACATTTTCTTCATTTAACATATCTGGAAGTGATTTTCCATCCCAATGTACAACTGCTCCTTACCAAAAATGAGAAATCGTATAAAAACCAAAAGATCTTAATATTAATACATAAAAACAACATATAGCACCTGGGTTAGTAATAGTAAATAAGTTATTGTGTGTTTTTGTGTTATGGAGAAATTCAACGTTTTTTCAATGTGTATCTGTAACAATGCATTCATTCATTCATTCATTCAATGATCCTCTGTAATCCCTTAAGAGACCGTTGAGGCCGATGGTATTCTTCTATCTCTCCAAAATTCCTTTTCTTTCCCTCGCCATCTTCATTGAGCCAAATGTTCCAACCCCCGTCCATTCCGTGATATCATCCATCCACTTCCTCACAGGTCTTCCCACTTTTTTCTTCCAGTCCCTCTTTCTCATCAGTACTTTTTTGATCAGTCTGTCGTCTGTCATTCTGCAGATGTGCCCAAAGATACCCAGCTTTCTTTCCTTGACACTTTCATACACAGTTTTTGTCTTCCAAGTTGTTTTTTTATGGCATCGTTTCTTATCTTTTGTCTCCAACTGATTCCCAGCAACTTTCTATAACAATGCATCTCGAATGCTTCCAGTTTGTCTTTGTCTCTTTTCTTCAACGTCCAAGCCTCACATGCATACATCAATGTAACAATGCAAATATGTCAGAAACTATAACTTGTAGCTAAATGGTGATCATAGTAACACTTGAAGGAAACTAATCAATGAACAAAATAATACCTAAATCATGTTTCTAGAGTGAACCGTTTTTATTTTACAAACCAAAAACTGCGTTTTTTTCAAAATTTTCCAATTTTTCGAAATTTCAACCTCGATGAGGCACGGGTTAGCATTATCCAATTGAGCTAAAACTTTACAAATGTCATTTTTTAGTCAAGTGGCACAATTTAGGGGGTTCCCCCGATAAAATTTTGAAAAAAAATTTTTTGTGACCACCTTACTGTACATACATGATCCTTATATGTTGCACACAAGACGTATGTTGCACACAAGAGTGTATGTGGCGTGAACCTTTTAGGATAAAAAAAAATCAATTGTTTTTTTTTAACTTTAACAGAATTTCAGCTACCACAATGGTGCTATGATGTGCCTTGTTGACCTTGACCTGAAAAGTTGATCTTTAGCCAAGCAATTTAAACTGTAATTTTGGCTTCCTGCACCAATGCGCCAACGATACCCAACCGAAACATCCCGATCAGGTGATATGGCTCCCAGATCGAATTCATTTAATATTTTATATATATATATATTTTTATGAATTGCCATGTTTACTATAACCTAAACTGTTCTTAATTGGATCACTTATTAATATTTTATATTTTATCATAATAGTTAATATCTTTCAGATATTCTATTAAAGAAGAAATATTTCCTCTTGATTTTCAATTATCAATTAGATCATCTGTAAGAGAAAACAACATTCTTTTTATTTTAGTTTTATCGCATTTAAATATATGTTTTATGGTTAATTTACTATTACAATATTGACAGGTTGAAATTTCTGTTTTATTTAACATATAATTATGAGTGTGTCCGATCATGTGCCAATTAATTTTGCTTAATATATATCTGTTGTTAATTGATGTCCTATCTATATTTTCAATTGAGGGGTAGATATTTTGAAGTTGGGTTTTTGATTTATTCCAATTGATTTGCCATAACGACATCACATATTTTGTTATATGCGGTTTTAAGTCAGAATACAAAATTGTTATATTTGTAATCAGATTTTGGTGTTATTTCAATGCCAATACATCCACCACTTCATTGCCTACTATTCCTATATGACTTAGAATCCATATTATTTGAATGTTGTATTTATCTTGTGTCAAATTGTGTATTTTAATTTTTATAATTTTTATTAACTCATTATTTATTTCAATTTGTTTGAGAGATATAACAGCTGATAAGGAATCTGACATAATAATATAGTTTTTGTTGTTTTTTTTAAAGTTGTCTAAAGCTATGCTCAATGCCGACTGAATGGAACTATACCATGACAGTCCCGCTATACAAAGGCAAAGGTGATCCATTGAACTGCTCATCATATCGGGGTATACGTCTGTTAGAACACTCCCTGAAAATTGTCGAGAAAATCATTGAGAGAAGATTATTGTCGTGCATCACAATCGGAAAGTATCAACTTGGTTTCCTAGCGGGGAAATCAACAATTGATGCAATTCACATTCTTCGGCAACTGCAAGAGAAGTATCTCGCAAAGCATCAACAACTATCACATATTTTTGTAGACTTTGAAAAAGTATTTGATCGAGTTCCCCGTGAAGCAATCAGGTGGAGTCTACGTCGACAACTCATTCCAGAATATCTTGTTCGACTTATGATGGAAATGTATACGAATACTAAGACTCTCGTCAGCACAACGGTTGGAAATACAGATGCATTTGACATCGGCGTTGGAGTTCACCAGGGCTCGATACTCTGTCCACTGTTATTTAAAACTGTGATGGAAGAAATCACAAAGCCGATACGCACTGTGACATTTGGAATCTTATATATGCTGATGATATTGTTTTAACAGCCACGTCTAAGCAGAATGCTGCACAGATGTTTGAAGATAGGAACACCAGACTGGCCGATCATGGATTCAAAGTCAAAATCAGCAAAACCAAAGCAATGAACACTGGTGAACCCATCCAATCCATAGCTACTAGACGATGGCCCTGTTCAGTTTGTAAAGCTGGTGCAGGTAACAATTCAATCAAGTGTCAGCAGTGTAACCAGTGGTGTCACAAACGTTGTTCAAAAATAATGGTACTTTATCTAAAGTGTCCAATTTTATTTCTCCTGCTTTCATCAATCCGCAACAACAAATTTGAAATAGCAATGTTTTTGAAGCCATTAAGGTAGAAAAAGTCACATTGTTTCAATATCTAGTGGATGCTCTGGATTGTACTGGAACAGCTGAAACTGCCGTTCGAACAAGCATACGTGCAGCCTGGAATAAATGGCATCTCCTTGCCTCTATATTGATGCGGCGTGACATCCCACTACCACTACGATCAAGACTTTTATAAATCTGTGATAAGTCCGGTGTGGTTATATGGTGCAGAAATACGGCCAATGACAACCAATCTGGAACAACAACTTCACCGAACCGATATGAAAATGCTCCGATGGATGCAACGAATTAGTCTGAAGGACCACATTAAATCAACCGAATGACAACCAAACTGGAACAACAACTTCACCAAACCGATATAAAAATGCTTCGATGGAAGCAACGAATTAGTCTGAAGGACAACGTCAAATCTACCGAAATCCTGCGTCGTTCTGTTTTAGATGGTATAATGGACGAATGCCGGCAACACCGTCTGAGGTGATTTGGTCATGTCAAACGAAGTGGAAACAGTGCCATAACTTCTCTTGCAGATGTTGAAGTACCTGGCACACGTCCCAAAAGTCGTCCAAAAAAGTCCTGGTCGCAAACAATCGAGCAAGACATGAAAGCTCTGAATTTAAATGAAATGGATACAACAGATCGCCTAATTTGGCGCAGAAAATTGAAGGCAAAAAAAACAACGTCTTACCTCGGGAGAACTGGGTCTCTGGACGCTAAAAAATGATTGATTGATTGATTGTCTAAAGCTAAATTTATTGCTTGTAGTTCTGCTGTGAAAATAAATGTATTATTTGGCAGATGTTATTTATTTATTTATTTGAACAAAGCACGGGCTATTGCCCATTACCGAATTTACAGGAAAAAAAAATACATAGTATTATACATGCATACCACGATACATTCGTACAATTGCTTCGCAAGTATAACCACGAAGATAATGCATTATACCATGGCAGATTGAAAATAATTTCCAAAAACAATAAATTAACACTAACAGTGTCTTGAGTGTCACCATAAATGCAAACTTATAAACCAAGATATAATAAAATACTTTATCCATCTAACCCCATTAATCCCATCCTACACCTGAATAGCATAAAATTAACTACACATTTCCCAAGCGATAGAAAAAATAAACAAACATTCATGCATCCATCTAATTTCCTTAACCTCCCCTACCCATATACCAACTCATATACCCACCTACTCATGAATCATTAATTATTATATCAGATAATTATATTAGAACCTAGAAATTTCATTAACTATTTACCAATCAATAAAAAAAAACCAAACAATCATATGAAAAACAATAATAATAATAAGAAAGTTATGAAGTCAATATAAAATATAATTAACCAAAAAATGTATAAATGAAATACGCACATGCATTCAACCATAAAATGGGTAATGAATTAATCAATCCAAGTCAATCATACATATTCCCAGTCATTACGGATAAAAAATAAAACAAGTACATATTTTTACCTATATTTATGCTCATATTTTTACCATATAATAATTATTACATTAACCTCATAATAATGAGTATTATAAATGTTGCATAAGTAATTCTCTCATTAATCCACTCACGTCCATCCATGAAAAATTTTTATTCAATCATACTAATAGATTAAAAATCTCAAACCATTCATACTTATCAACACACACATCCAATTGAACCGTCAGTTTAAAAGTATCACCTATATTGAAATTTAGCATCACCCCAAAACAAATCCAAACGAGATTTAAAAACACTTGTATTTGGAGAGTCGACAACAGATTGCGGGAGTTTATTCCAGTCCGCGACTACTCTGTTACAAAAAAAATATTTTCTAACATCCTTGTGAGATAAACCTGTTGACAACTTCATATGATGCCCTCTAGTTCTCCCATCATTATTGAGCAACATGAACGAATGATCAGTATCTGGATTGGCCACCAACATTTTATATAAAAAAATCAGATCCGCTCTAGTTCTTCGATATTTCAAAGAATGCAAGTTCAATTTTTTTAATCTATCAATATACTCTAAACCATAACAAGAACGGATAGATCTAGTAGCTCTTCTTTGAACTTTTTCAATCATTTGTATTAGGTTTATGTGATGTGGGCACCAAACCTGTACCGCATACTCTAGATGTGGTATGACCAAGCCTTTGTAGAAACATAGGTAAGCTTCTTCATCAATAAGTCTAAAATGCCTGTTTATGATGTCCAACATTGTGTTGGCTAACTTAACTTTACTATATATATGATCTCTAAAAGTGAGTTTATCATCAACAAACACACCTAAGTCTTTTATTACTTTGACTACTTGGATCACTTGTTTGACCTGGGCAGAATCCCACATTTCATAAATATTATTATATTTATTTCCGAACTTCAATACGCAACATTTATCTACATTTGGAATCATACGCCAGACATTTAGCCAATTTTGCATATTGGTCACATTTAGTTGCATGGACTTCAAGTCATCTGGACATTTGATAATTTTAAACATCTTTGCATCATCCGCAAAAAGATATATATTCTCACATGCTGAAGGGAGATCATTAATATAAATTGTAAACAGTAGAGGTCCCAGGATACTACCTTGGGGAACTCCACTAGTAGCATCAAACTTTGAAGACAATGCATCACCCACTCGCACCCTGAAGTTTCTCTTCTTAAGATATTCACTTATCCAAACAAGAATTTTGTTATCGAATCCATATTTCTTTAGTTTCAGTAACAAACAATTGTGAGATATCCTATCAAAAGCCTTCTCGAGATCAGTATATATGACGTGTACCTCCTCATCACAATCAACACCCATTGTAACTTTATCCAAAAATGTCAGCAACTGAAGAGTCGTCGATCGTCCGGGCAAAAACCCATATTGATTTCGGTGAAATAAATTATTCGTCAGAAAATAATTCAAAACATGGTCCTTAATAATTGATTCCATCATTTA